GGACGTCTGTTGGTGCTAAGTTGCAGGGCTGTAGCATAAACAAATCTGATAGAGTTAACCTTCAGCTTTGTCTTGACTGGAATATGGGCTGATCCACTCTTTGCTGCTGGATTACTGTGTGGCTGTTCATCTGTTGATGAGAGGGGTCTTTAGAGGCTGGTGATTCTCGGGAAGTTCCACTAGGCAGTACTTCCTCTTTCCCCTGATTGTTTTGTTTTGCATCATATAACATGTCTTTTGATCTAGGTTGAGTTGATTTTTTTGAATTGGTTTGTTACTTAGTTTAGTAGTAGGGGGTTGTTAATTATTTGGTGGTATTTTGTAGCCGGTGATCCTGTTTTTTCTTTTGGGTAATAAAATTGAAATTATTAAAAAAAAAAAGTTTTCTATCAGCACCTTGAGAACTTGGTTAAGAAAATTCGTTCTTTTAAAATACAATTCAACATTTGAAATTGAATCATAAACATAAAGAAGAGAACTATTGTGAAAAAAGAAGATAAAGAAGAGAAACATCAGGCAAAGAGGCTAGAGAGGATATAATTTAACATAGTTGTCGGCAATCGAACGAGAAGAGGAAGAAAAATATAATTAGAACGAATTAACGGAATTGAGTCGAGTGATAAATAATTTGATATCCTTTAAAAGAATTTTGAGTTTAAGATATTATATGTAAAATATATTTTTTAAAAGATTCGCTCATTAAAGTTATACGTGTGATACGAGCCGATTGAAATTAATTAAAACAAAATCCTGAAAATCGAGTGAGAAAAAAACAAACATAATGAGACGGAGGAAATATTACCATTGGGAGGGGTGTATTGGGGAAGATGAACTGATTCGGGAAAGTTCACTGAAAATTTCCGCGGTTGGCCAACATGATATGCTTTAAACGTGGATTCTTGAGTCAGGAAGGGGTACATGGCCCTAGGACACTTTCTTTCTCTTTAATTATTCACAAAATAGAACAAATAAATAAAGATAATCAACACCTCCTTCCGTTTCAGATTAGTTTTTTTTTTCTTAAATAAATATTTTTTTATTTAAAAAAAAACTTAAACTAGCTTAAACTTTAAAAAAAGTCATTTAATCTTTAAATTTTGAATAAAAAAATAATTTAATCTATCAATCATCATAAACTCTCACAATAGTATTATTGATCTATGTGTCAATATCATAGATTCTTACCTCAATATACTAACGACAAATTGATCAACAAAACATATCAAAATTATTTCTTAAGTATAAGATTATAGTAAGTATAAAATTAACTTGAGAATTATAATATTTTTTTTCTTTTGGGAAATGGATCATCATTTATCTAATGTTAATTATATGATTGATCGCTTATGTTTGTGTTTTGTTTATTTTTTCTTGCTAATTTCAAAAAAAACTTAATATACGGTCATTGTCATTTTTATTTAATTAAAATATGATCACTTTTATTTTTATTTAATTAAAATGTGATCACCACTAGTTAACTGTCGTTATCAATCAACAAATTAGGTAATGTGGCATGGTAGCAGTTAAATATTTTAGTATAATCATACATTTGGCCCATATTATTTACATATTCTCTCAATATAGTCTCATTTTTAACAAATTAAAATAAATTTAATTCTCCAATAGAATAATTTCATGTGACACTAGTAACACGTATCGTACCATTTGCCACCATCAGTTAGAAGAATAACTTTATTTTAATTCAATATAGTCATCCTCTTGTTAATAGAAAACAAAGCAAAGCAAATTAGGGCTAAGGGGATTTGGACATGAATCTTTTGGGAAAGCAAACATGTATCCAACTATTGAACCAAGACCGATGTTTAGTTTAAAATAGATAACATGACGTGTAAATTTTGTATTTATTTATTAACTTTAAGAACGGACCAACTTATTTCAGTGGTTACAAGAATCGTTGTTCATAGAAGTCACATGTTAGAGCAATGACGACTGCAGCAGGGTGATTGAGCGTTCATTGTCAAAGTATTTAGAGCAGATACTAATTTGTAATCAAGTTAGCTTAATAAAAAAAATAACTTAATAAATATTTTTTGTATTAGATTACTAAATATGTTTTATTATTAACTTAATTCAAAAATATTTTATTTTATTTTTATTTGAAAATATATAGTTTATCTTAATTTACTAAATAAGATTATATTATTACTTTAAATTATTAAATATATATTATTATATTAATTTCAAAATATTTTAACATAACATCTATTTTTAAATTAAAATAAAAATAAAACATTTTTAAATTAAGTTAATAATAAAATATATTTAATAAGTTAGTACAAAAAATACTTCTTAAAGTTAATATGTAAAATATTATGAATTTAAGTTAAATATTTATATACTGAAAATACAAAATATATACATCATGTTTTATATTTTATACCAAACTTTGGTATCGGCTAATGGTTGTGTATATGCTTGATTTTCCAAGTTACCCAAGTTCAAAGTCATTTAACCTCAACTTGCTTTGCTTTGTTCTCTTTCGACAAAAGGTTGACATGTGGTATTATTTAATTGGATGATTAAATTTATTTTAATTTATTAAAAGTATAATTAAATTTAGAGAATATGTAAATAACAATGATCAAATGTGTGATTATACTAAAATATTTAACCGTCGTGTCACCTAATATATTAATTGTTAACGACATTTAACTCGTGATGATCATATCTTAATTAAATAAAAATAAAAGTGATAATACATTATATTTTAAAAATCAATAAAAAATGTACAAAAATATAAACATAAATGATGAATTATATAATTAAAATTTCTTTTTATTTTCATAGAAGGTTTAGGTCCGCGTAACCATGTGCGATTCACACTTCGGTATGAAGAGTTGCAGAGAGTCCGTGGAGGAATTTGACAATTGGGAGAAAGAGGAACATTCGATTGCGTTGTAACGGGGAGGAAATTTGACCATATTCGATTGGTATTGGCTAGTGGTTGTGTATATTTTGATTAATTGCCTCTTTTTTTTCATGTTTCATTAGGTTTTTCAATGATCAAGTTGCGGATTTAATAGGCGAAAGGTTGAAGCCGAGTACGTGGCCTACACGGTTTTTTTATTTGTGAAAAATATATTTTAAGTTTGGTAGACAAAATCATGATTTTATTAATTAATAAATTTACTATGAATGAAAATCCAAGTTGGTCAAGTAGCTTCTAAGCTTTGCTCGTAAAAATTGCTGCCAGACAAGCGAGCTAATGTCAATGACATGAACATGTGTACATGTGCATTGGACCTAGACATTTCCGAGGCAACATTTCATCATGTTTAACCTTAGTTGAAAAGTATACATGACACGAATCAAATGATTTCAGAGGTTAAAAAATAATTATTTTCTTTAAAAAATTTAGACTCGAACATAACATTTACAGACGCGTTTAAATATTAATTATCAAATAATTTAAAGTAATTCAAATAAATAATACATTATAATCATTTCAAATTAATAAAAAAAATGAAAATGAAAACTTTGTTTTATAGGCCGTCATCTAACAATGTGGGCTTTTATGTTATGGGATAGACCCACATCCAAATATTAATTGTTTAACATAAAAGTCCATGAACTTGACGTATTATTTTATGTTAAGAAGTACAAATTTAAATTTATAAAATTTTAAAAAGTAAAATAAATTTTTAATATAAAATATATGGACAAAAATATAAAGTAATTTCAAATTTATTAGGTGAGACGATTGCCTCTACCCACCCCTGCCTAGATCCATCAGGGTTGTTACTGTTTTCATTGTTAAATAATAATTTAACCACTCAATTAAATATTATTAAATAATTTGACACTTCATATTATTAGTTTTTTTTTATTAGTTTAGCCATTTAACTATACCTTTTATCTAATAACGTGACACTGCAATATTTTTATCAATTGGACACCACTGCATTTCACTCAACATGATACCTTAAAAGAAGTTTATTTTCTATTATTACCTCAATTGTTTGATTGTTTTACATGTTACATATTAACGTAATGGATGAATGACATGAACCAGTGAATCAATAAACGAACGAAATGTAATACGTGACTTGAAAATATTAAAAAAATAGTTTTAAAATTCAATTTTCCACATTGCTTAACTTGAATGATGGAAACAAATATTGAAAAAAGTGATGTGAAAAATCCATGTAATTTTTTAAATAATTTGTTAGATATGATATCACTTGTATTCGGTTTATTGACCGACTACTTCAAATTGGATTTTGTAGAGGCTCATGATGGGAGCAACATTCTCAACCCAGTTTGATCTACACGCAAATGCCAAAATTTGAACCTGGCTTTATTTTGGGAATCTAGTACCTCATCCCATTATACCAACTTGTGGGATATATAATTAAATGGTCAAAACCCTTATTTTTTGAATTAAGGTATCTTTTATGTTCATTTTACATATATGGGTCCTTTTGAAATTGTGGTTGCCCTTATACCAATTTCAATTTCATTTTCATTGTTCGAACCTATGATATATGTCTAATAATATAATAGCTCAGTTTCATGTTACATGAACTTAAGATCAATCAAGTTCACTTTTCAATCTCCAAACTGGATCCATAACCAAATAGAGGGTGTTGATTCATACCTGACCATTTAAGGTGCCATTTGTAAAGCAAGTAAAATTTTTAAATTACCATATATATTTTAATCATTTTATTTGTATTTTTATATTAATAATTTATTTTCTATCCCTTAAAATTTTAGTTATCCCAGAGTTGTTCATTGCTCAGTGGTCTTATAGGACACAATTACATCCCTAAATTAGCGCAGAAATTGCCCATTTAACTTAATGAGCCAACCCCTTATGATTTTGTGACCAAATCATCGCCTTGTTGTGATGCCATTGCTGATAAAATCAAACATAAGCTCACTTTGTATAAATGTGTTCGACATATCCGCAACATATTTGTATCAAACACTCGCTTCCAAATCCGAATGTTGTAATCTTCTCGAAACACCAAATTTACAAAACATTAATAACTTCTTAATTTTACACTAAGAAAATACACTTGCCCTTCACCTTGCGTTACAAGCAAACTCCACCAGCTTTCTGATATAGAAAACCCAATAGCAAAAAGAGAGACATTTCTTAAAAAAACCCTAAAAAAGGTGATCCAAAATCCCTAAAACCCCAAATACCCTAAACAAATTGACAAACACACACAAATTCACAAAGGTTGCTGCATGGTCACAATTAAGGGGCTAGTGACATCATGCTTCCCATCAGACCACACAATCGAACCACTTTTCATTTTGCTCCCACCAGGAGATAGCTTCACTGCCATGGCTTGAACTCTCACAAGGAAGTTTAATTTTTGGCCAACCCTTCTAAATACAAGCTCTTGTGGTTCAACAGTTACCACCGTGTCACTTGGTGGGTTGATTGTGACTTTGTAAACTGAATTTGGGTCACCAACATTGGTGACTTGCCTGATGAGATGTGTAGACATGTTATGTCTGCCGTATTGTTGAAAAACGGCAGATAACGATGGGTAATTCAGGTTTCCGGCGTGTCCGGCTCTTTTGGCGCCGCCGCAATCGGCGGTTTTTCTTGTGAGTACTTTGATGTTGTTGATTGTGTAATTGGAATTGCATAAGAAATCGATGTAATCCATGGTGGTTATGTCGTAAACCAGGCCGGGATCCATGGCTTTCGTGGGATGGACATGTCCGGATCCGAAATCCAATACAGTGGATGTGTTCCCGTTGGATTCGTCGATCATGGTTCCGCCACGGTTGTCAACGGTGTAAGCAGTGGTTATCAGGGCAGATTTGACGGCTGCAGGGCTCCAGTCAGGGTGAGCTGCTTTTAACAATGCGGCCAACCCTGAAACATGGGGACATGCCATTGATGTGCCTGAAAGAATGTTGAACTCTGTCTTTCTATTGTCGGAGGAAATACCGGATGGGCCGACTTTGTCTGGCCAGGCTGCAAGGATGTTCAATCCGGGAGCGATCATGTCCGGTTTCAGAATTTCGGGTGTCTGCGGATTAGGCCCTCGAGCTGAAAATGATGCCACAACCGGAGCTGGTTGGACCCCTAACCGTGTTCCTTTAAAGACTATAGTGGCAGTGGCTGGCGACTTGGATTTAGAGGCTGAATCAATGTAGCCTCTAATCTCATCACCATTTGAGGCGCCAACGGAGGTTGCCGGCAGGACATGGCAATCGGCAACCAACCCTTCGCCGTCGAAAGCACCGTTAGCCAAAATCATTCCGATGCCACCTGCTTTCTTGACAACTTCACCTTTAGCAGCTCTTGAATTAATCCCTCTATCACACACCACTATTTTCCCTTTCACAAACTCGGGATTCAATGAACCTTCCAAACACAAAGAAGAGGAATACCCATCGCCGCCGCCAGTACCGGCGTATACCAACGGGTACATCCGACCAGGAGACAAACCTGGTCCATTGTAGATACTGACTCCAGGCAAGACCTTCCCGTTTCCAAGCTTAACCTCGGCGGGAAAATCCCTATCAATCGTACCAGCACCGATCGTAGCCACCCATGGAGCCACATTGGTGACGGTCAATCCACCGGGACCGCCGTTTCCGGCGGAGGCCGAAACAAATATCCCCATATCAGCAGCACTGAAAGCACCGATAGCAATGGCGTCAAGATGATACGGTACCACAACACCGCCGACACTCAACGAAATCACATCAACCCCATCATCCACGGCGGCGTCAAAGGCAGCGAGGATATCAGAGTCAAAGCAACCGGCGTTCCAGCAAACTTTATAAGCGGCAAGTCTCGCTTTTGGCGCCATCCCGGCAGCCACACCTTTAGCATAACCCAATGTAGAAGCTGGAAACACATACCTTCCGGCAGCAATAGAAGCAGTGTGTGTCCCATGACCGTCGGAATCTCGCGGGGAACGAAACTCCGACGTGTCGTTCATTTTCCCATTAGTCGCTTCGTACCCATTGCAGAAAAACCTCGCTCCAATCAGCTTTCTATTACAAGAACCGGAAGTAAAATCTTTCGTCGTCACACATTGGCCTTTCCATTTAGAAGGAACAGGACCCAAGTCACGGTCGTTGAAGCTTTGACGCTCCGGCCAAATACCCGTATCGATAACCCCGATGACAAGATCCGACCCGAAGTTAGATCCCTCCAAAAGCCCGGCTCTGTCGGTGGTTTTTAGACCCAGAAACTGAGGAGAGCGCGTGGTGTGCAGGCGCCGGACTTGTTCGGGGATTACAGCGACGACATGGGGGAGTGTTTGGAGCTTGACGGCTTCAGTTGGAGTGAGCTTGGCGGAGAATCCATGGAAAACGGTGTTGTAAACATGGATGACTTGTGTTGGAGTCGAAGGGGAGAGGATCGATGAAAGGGAAGATTCGTACCAGTGCTTGTGGGTGGTGAAAATGGAGGGCTTGGCTTCGTTTTGGACTCTGACGATGAAGGTTTTTTGATAGTCCCTTGAAGCGGATGAAGCTAAAGAGAGTAAAGAAAGGAAGAAGAAGAGGAAGAAAGCCATTGAAGGAGGTTTGGGAGTGAACTCAGTGAGGATCGAAATGTGCATAAAAAGAAGAGAGCTTTGAACTGTGTTTGCAGCTGGAAAAACCTGGCCTGGATTTGGACGTAATGTAATGTAATTATTACTACTGAATTTGTACTATTCAAATCTTAGGCGAAGGTTAAAGCTTTGATTGTAATTATTATTATCATTACTATGTAATTAAACTACAATAACTATATATAATATATATAATGCAATGATACAACAATTAAAGCCGGTTTGGGACCATTTCACATGTCATCATGTTGCGTGTTTTCATTTTTTACCTTATGATTGATAAAATAATTATATTTTTAAATTATCATCAAATAATTGTATATATACCTAGAATTTCGACAGAATGTGATGTTTAATTTCATAATCCTCTTTAGACACGTTACTTATTCGGTTTTAATAGAATTAATCGATCGAATCGAATTAGTTCGATTAATTCAATTCGAAATCTGTTAATTAATCTAATCAACTAAAATTATTAAATCTTATATATATATATATTATACATATATTTTAAGCTCAAACTCATTAAAAATAATATCTATTATTTTTTTAATCACACTATAATCATTAAATTATCAATACATAACTATTTTTAATTCAAATAAAAAATATACATCTATTATATTTAAATTATTCTAATTATTAAAAATTATAAAAAAATTCGGTTAACCGACCGAAATAACATAACTTTATTCGGTTCGGTTAATATTTTTTAAAAAAATTCAGTTCTGTTAACGGTTAAAGAAAAAAATTAATTAATTCGATTAATAATAATTCGATTCGATCAGTTGTCGAATTAACTGTTTGAACATCCCTAATTCTCTTGTACATCGAATTTTTTCACTTTTATTTGTATTTTTTGATTTAGGGTTATATGTATATGTATCTACCTAATTTTTTTAGAATATGTTTTTTAATTTCTAACTCTATAGTGATTTTTCTTAGAGAATGTACAGATTATAGCTTCTTTTATTGTAAAAAAAAAAAACAGAGACAATGATGAACCAAAGCATGAGTTTTGGGGAACTCTGCCTCTTAATATTTTAAAACCTAATGGTAATTTTAAGTTGTAGTAAATATAAACATTAAATAAACCAACTTCTATCTTTAAAATTTGATTATTAATTTAAATAATTTAAGACTTGTATAAAGTTTAATCTTTATTCCATCTTTGCCTTTTGGAACATGATCCTGGTAGAGCTAAGTAGCCAGCTTGCTGGGACCAAATTGACAAAAGCATGGCATGAAGGAGGACAGTTGTGAAATGATCAAAGAGTCATCAATGGCGTTGAAGGAGGGCTGAAAATGGTTGGGTCCATGGCACACATAATTTATATTTTGAATTATAAGCCCCCCCCCCCCCACGTTTGCCCTCTTTTCACTTTCCAATAATGCAAATCTCAACAACTGTGGGCTTAGGGATGGGTGTGGGATCCGAACCTAACGGGTTCTGATGCGATCCGATCGGGTCTAGATTTTTTTTAATAAAAAAATTATTTTCGGGTCGGGTCAAATTTTTTTAAGGTGTTGTTCGGGTCGTATTCGAATTTAGGGTGAAAAATACCTTATCCAGCCTGGAAAAATATAACTTTACCTTATGTGGGCTTCTCTTGTCTGCACCTTCATTTCACACGTATTGACATATGCATACTTTATTCTTGTTCTCTCGATTACGATGGTTGTGTTCAAAACAATAGTTTTAGGGGTTTAGATGAGTATAATGTTTGTTCTTTAATAACAGAGGTGTATTCGGTTCATTTATATACACGAACAAACTTGTTTGGAAGTTCGTTTATTAACTCGTTTATCATTTATGTACACGAATAAACTTGTTTAAAAATTCGTTTATTGACTCGTTTACTCGGTTCTCATTTTCTTTTTCTCACATATTTTAAATATTGACGAAGATAATGATTACTTTTATCTAATATTTTTTAAATTTTCATTTATATGTTTGCAAAACGAGTATATGTCACGTGTTAAATATAAATTAAAAAAAAAACCCAGATAGTATGCGACAGAGATAGTTTGACGAAGAATTTATATTTGTATACAATGTTGTAAGAAAATGGGGCCTGTCCAAAGGCAGAAGGGAAATGACGAATTGAGGCCCATGTGAAAATTAAGAAATTGGGCTTGATTTATTTATTTTGAGAAGAAAGACTAGGCTTAATTTAGGCTGCCCGAATTTCAACTACAATTTGGCCCAAAATAGATTCTTATCCCTTATTTTTCACGTGCATAAATAATCATTAAAACATGTTCTTTAATAGGGATTTCGGGGATCGAAATCAAGAAACTAGAAGACAAGGAGAAAAGCCAAGTAACTTTCTCCATACGAAAGAGAATGGGTGGGAACCTCATCCGAATGGTTGTAACACAGACGGTGCATAGAAAACGTATCGAAAATAAATAGTTAAAATTGACTCCTTATTTTTTTCCAATAAATATCTTCACATTTTATAATTTTAATCTGAACCATCTATTTTTCCTCATTTAATGATCTTAAATTTGTATAAAACTAAAAGAGTTTTACGTAGTGTAACTATATATATATATATATATATATATATATATTACTTGTTATAAGTTTAGAAATGGAATCTTGAGAGAGAATAAGGAGTTACAATCAACAAATGATAAAGAAAATGATGGGTCTTTAAGCATTAAGGAAAATGCCAACATGCCATTTATCAATGTCCATTTTCATTAATAAGCAGGCGTTGGATTATCTAAAATACACACCAATGTCCATCAAACATTTGGTCCCTCCTACACATTTGTGTCAATATCAGACTATACGGATAGCAAAAGATAAAAAATAAATTATCATCAAATTTTTTAATCCAAATCAAATAGAATTCGGATCCCAATTTATAAAGTCCACCTTCAAACTCATCTATAACAAAAATATATCAATAAATTCTTTTTTTTATAATTCATATAACTTTTTATAATTAAATTCAGTAGCATCACTTTAGGGTTTAAACGAGCTTCAATAATTATGAGACAATTGCCCAGTGGCTTTGGTTTTGGTTTCGACGAGGTGGTTGATTTCTACGGCGGAGATCCTCTATGAGGAGACGGATCTCTCGGCGGCCGGAGGTGGCAGCGGCGGTGCTACAACGCCTAGGAGATTCAAGCATTGTTTTAGTAGACAGTTGGAGTTCCCTCGTTTCATCCAAAACGATCTGCCTTTCTCTACATTCTATGCTGCAAAAGCCTTGGTCACCCCTGCACTTACGAAAAATTTCTATCAGAAGATTAGAAAAGAAAATCATTGAAATTATTTACAGGTGTGCGTGAGTTTATTTATACTCACTGAAGAAAATAAAATCATTGAAATTATTTTGTTTACCTGTACATATATACTTCTTTATCTGGGCTCAGTTTCTTGCGGCACAATTGACACGATTTGAGGAAGCAAGATTCATCGGCCGGCGGAGACCGGGTTCCGCAGCTGCCACCGTGAAGGTTTCGAGAGCCGGGTAGGCTTATTTTGAATGCAGGTTTAACAAGGAGGTTAGATTTTCCCAGTGAAGTATCTGTGAGGATTCTCAGCCCAACAACAACTGGTGAGCTGATCTTGCTAGGGTTTGCAGTATCATTGCTCGGTTTTTCCTCAGTAGTACTGTGTTTTTGTTCCAGCTTCATAATTACTGCTGTTTATTTTAATAATTTGAACAGATAGGAAGAAGAAGATGATGAAGGTAGAGGAGGATGTGAATTTGAGATATTTTGAGAATTGAAGGAGTGATGAATATTTAAAGGCACTTTTGTTTGGGATATTAAATAATTTAGAATAATGTCTTCTTGCATGATGTAGGGACTTGTCGTGCTACGTGTAGGGGACATGTCTTGTTGATAAACGTGAGAATAATAATATTACTGTTTACAGCGTTTGAGCTTTGCTTTTTTAAACCAACGTGAAAGTAGAGTTTATATGTATAATTCTAATACTTAAAAGGAAGAGGAATGAAAACTTTAGGGGAAGGAATAGAAGTGATGTAATAAATATACAACCTTTGATTTAAGAGAATATAATTAGGGAATAAAGATTATCAGTTTGATCAATCGATTAAATATATTTGTTTAAAATAAATTATTTTGAGAAAAAAAATATATATTTTGATCATATTTTAATAAATAGTAAATATATAATATATAGTAATAGTTTTGTTGTACTCACATTCCTCCCTAATCCATTGAACTTCGCTAAACAACGAACTTGGATTCCTTAACAAGGATTGAAATGAATTGTATTGCAAGAGTTATATTACAAGTATCATATTGCACATTTTTTGTATAACCATCAGTATTCGATTTATTAATCGATTAGTTTGGATCGGGTACTGTAGATACAAGGACGATCCTCCTAGTCCCAACCCAATTTGCTCAATTCATAAATATGATGATTCAAACTCCTTACCTTGCTTAAAGTATATAGTTCATTATCCCACTAGACCAACCAGATGTTAAAGGCAGTTTTTTAGCACATTGTACATTAACCTAAAACATTAGGGATTAAATGTGACATTAATCCTTTTTTAAAATTAAAATCTGTGGGTCATTGGCTTGTAAAGAGTCATTGGAGTATTAAACTACTGAAATATTACTCAGTGCGCTCCGACACGCTTGCATAAACTATCCAAACTTAATAAAAACGTGCTTCTTTCTTACTTTTGGCGAGGCATGCAGACAAGTCAAATTCTAAAAATTGTCACGTGAAACTGCAATTTAGTTCATTTAGGCTAAATAAATATAGTTAAATTATAATCCATGTTCGTTATATGATTTATAACCAAAATATGTGATTATCTTTTTTCTAAGAATTTCATTTTTAAGATTTTAATCTAAAATTTATTAAAAATATAATATACCTTATTATTATATCGATATGTTACTTTTTTAAATGATCATTGATATATTTAGATATAAAATATGTAATTATCTGATAAAACTGTACAAACTATAAAAAAATTAAGATGCGTCTCATAGAGGGCATTTCATAATTTGGAGGTCTCATACGGAAGTTGTTCTCAACCTAGTGTTAGGGGCAACCTATATCTTACCTCCCCTTACCCCATTACATATGGGAACAAGGGACAAGCAACCAACCTCCTTTTATAAATTGAACTCCAAAAATATATATGTATCTTGATCGCCTTAAAGCTTTTAATTAATTTTGTCTAAATATATGAGCATATTGAAGTATAATTATTTCTTCTAAGGAAATCCTATTTGGTTTGGACCCAACTGAACTGCAAGTTTGTCCAGGGTCGTATTATACAGCCCTGTTCATGAAGTAAAATTGAAATACGTCAATTTAGGAGTTTGGACCGCAAAATTGACCCAATAAGGTCTATGAGTTTTTTATTTAGCCCAATAGGACAACTAGAAGTTTATTTTGGGATCTACGATATTTTTTACAATGACATGGAACTCGTCAAGTCGAGGTGATGAGTTTTAATAAAAAATATTTTTTATTCTAATTTTTTTTATCTCAATGTGATATATTTTAATAAAAAATATTTTTTTTATTGAAACTCATCACCTCGACGTAATGAATTCCCTAGAAAATACAATAGATCCCAAAATAAAAATCGAGATGCTCTAATGGGCTAAATAAAAACCCGATTTCTTTATTGGGCCAAAAAAACCATTTTGGACTAGTTCTGGGCTTCCATGATGAATTTAGGAGTTAATAGGGTCTCAGTTTTATGTTATTTGGTTTGTTTTTATTTAAGGATGGACGCAGAATCTGGATATAACAGTTTTTGATCTGATCCAATTTTATTGAATCAATTTTTGTTTTTAAAAAAAATCAGGTTTGGGTTGGATTTAATCTGATTTTTTAGGAGATGAGTTTTGGTCGAATTAGTTTTGGGTTTAGAGTGAAAAATATCGGATCTAACATAAAAATAATATAATATATTTTATGTTTAGAGACTATTATAATAATACATCTCTTTATATTATTTTTTTAATTAAACCTCAATCTTATAAAATAAAATTAATAATATTTTATAAATATATTTATTTCAAGTCAAATTGGGTTAGATTTGAATTTTATTTAGAAAAACAAATTAAATTTTAGATCGGACGAAGTTATCATAAACTCGAATCGAATCGAGTTTTGGATGAAGTTTGTATATTTTTAGATAGAGTCAAATCGAAAACTCGTCCTAACCCGATGCATGTCATCCATTTTTTTTTGGTTGCATGCTAGTAGGCAAAACGCCTAACCTACTTCCTTATGGGTTTCCATAGCCACAGCTTCAGCATACAATCCCCGGGGTAGAGTCCACGTATGTTTAGCAAGCCCGTCCGCAACCTTGTTCCCATTTCGATTCACTTTCTTAATCTCTACCTGCCAATTCCTGCTCGGGTACACTTCTATATGTCGGATAATGGTAAAATTACAACCTCCAGGACATGGATATGCTGGAGCTTGGAAAAGGTTGAAGGCTGTGACTTTGCTCTTCCGGATGCGAAGCTAGATACTAGTCACTCAGACTTGATACATCAAGAACCATGTACGAGTGAAACATCAAATCCTGTATCTGTAGACTATGGTATTCTTGCTGATAGCCAGAGCATGTATGAACAACTGGAATATGAGAAACCTAAGGCAAATTTTCGCCGGACCATGTCTGAAGCCAGTTTCCTGTCATAGAAAATTTGTCAGATACCCTCGAAGCTGCTTGGACAGGCGAAATTCAGCGTGCAGTTGGCCTACCCAAGACTAGTATGAGTTCTCTTTCTGATTCTGCTGCTTTAGATATTACTTTTGCGGATTCAGTAGCTAAGGGTATAGATTTCGAAGTCCACTCTGAAGAAAAGATTGAGCCCAAGGTTTTTCATTCTCTTTCTCCTGTATTGTCTACTAGAAGCTCTGAAAATATTGAAGACATTGTAAGCTGGTTGAAAATGCCTTTCTTAAGCTTCTACCGTTCCTTGAACAAAAACCTTTTAGGACATGATTCAAAGATCGATACATTTACTGAATATGATCCGATCTATGTTTCGTCATATAGAGAGTTGGAAGTGCAAGATGGAGCTAGACTGCTTTTGCCAGTGGGCTTTAACGACACCGTTATTCCAGTTTACGATTATGAGCCGACAAGTATGATCTCATACGCTCTAGCATCACCTGAATATCAGTTTCAAGTAAGTCATGATGGGGATAGGCCTAAAGAAAATGGGAATTTAACAGCCTCAGTATCGTTACATGAGTCGATGATTCAATCGTCACATTTTGTTGATGAGCTGTACTTTGATCCTCATAGAAATCTTGGTTCGAAAGATAACATTACTGGATCTCACAACTTGAATATGGATCCACTCTCCTCGACAAAGTCTTTGCATGTAAAGTGTCTTTCGGAGATGATGGATCGTCTGATAAAGTGAAATTTACCGTTACATGCTATTATGCAAAGAGATTCGAAGCATTGAGGAAAATGTGTTGCCCATCAGAGCTAGATTTTACAAGGTCTTTGAGTCGTTGTAAGAAGTGGAAAACTCAGGGTGGCAAGAGCAAAGTTTGCTTTGCGAAAACCTCAGATGATCGGTTTATTGTTAAAAAGTCACAAAGACAGTTGGAATCGTTTATAAGAATCGCACCTGAATATTTCAAGTACTTGTCCGAATCAATTAGTTCTCGAAGTCCAATGTGCCTGGCAAAGATTCTTGGCGTTTATCAGGTGCTTGTTACTATGGCTTCAGATGCTCTAAAGCTACATACGATAATCATTAATCTAATTTCTGTCAGTTAGTTGGAATAACCCTGACATAATCTAGCTTTTATGTTTAAATTTACCCTGTTTGTTTGATGATGATCGCGGATTCTTTTCAACTAAACCTTTGCTTTTATTGCACATATTTTCTGTGATCATTTATTTATTTTTCTTATTGTTGATTTCTTTTGGAAGGTTTCTGCAAAGCATCTTAAAGGCGGGAAAGAGGCAAAGATGGAAGTTCTGGTTATGGAGAATATTCTGTTCGGAAGAATTGTCACGCGGTAATATGATCTCAAAGGATCTAGATCTCGTTATGTCCCCCAATCCAGCGAAAGCAACAAGGTTCTGTTAGATCAGAACTTGATCGAATCAATGCGGACCTCCCCGATTTTCGTGAGTAATAAAGCAAAGAGCTTGCTGGAAAGAGCAATCTGGAATGACACTGCTTTTCTTGCTGTAAGTTTTAGATCTTTTCTTTCATGCTCGAGCCTGCAGATCGATCTGAACAACATCCCGTTTTTCTTATTTCTTTATCTTTTCAACCTTGCAGGCAAGGGACGTGATGGATTACTCGTTACTTGTCGAAGTCGAAGAAGAGAAGCACGAATTAGTTGTCGGAATCATCGATTGCATGAGGCAGTACACCTGGGACAAGCATCTTGAAACTTGGGTGAAGGCTTCCGGCATCCTTGGCGGACTGAAGAATGCATCACCGACTGTAATTTCACCGAAACAATACAAGAAAAGGTTCCGGAAAGCAATGGCAACGTACTTTCTAATGATCCCGGATCAGTGGTCTTCTCCTTCCACATCAGGCAAATCTCAGTCAGATACAGGCGAAGAGAACGGACAACAAGGGACCTCTGCAAAGCGATTTCACAATCGAAATCTCGAAGTTCGACAGTCCCATTCTGTTTTTGCATTGTTCATAGGATTGGTTTCCATT